ATCTATATATCTATGTCTCCTACTGTATGTTAGACAGTAGAGAAATAAATGTCTATTTTGAACTCAAAGATGAACAAGACCCAAAAGACCCAATCCCCTGCTATTAGGGGGCCTCAAAACCAGAAGATTATATATATATATTTTATAAATATATATATATTTTTTTTTCACTAAAAATGAGGATAATTTTAAAAAGTCCTGTAGAAGCCCTGATGGAGATTGTGTATTTTCATTTCATTGCAGTCAAATTACTTTGCTGACTTCCATGACTGGAACAGTGATGATCTGCTCTAATAGAAGGTTCATAGTGCTGTATCTCAGGACAAGGCAGGGGAAGTGTGCTGGTTGTGGGATGTGGGATGGGGAAAAGATGAGAAAGGGTCAGAACCTAAATTAGAGCCACTTACTATGCTTAAGGGACAGAATTAGGACAACTACAAAATTTTGTTGCTATTATTTTTTAAAGCTACCATTTATTGTTCGCTTATTATATACTAGGCACAATATTATACACTGTATATACACTAGTTCATTTAATCCTTCCAGCAAATATGTAAGAAACTACTCTTATCCCCATTTCAGAATGCAGGAACTGAAACTCAGAGATTAAGCTACCTGCCCAACATTACTCAGAAGTGGCAAACCTAGATTTGGCCCCAGGCCAAATCTCCAAGCCCCAGCTCTAAACTATTATATTATATAGACTCCACAAATAATTTCAGGGAGGCAAGTTAATATCTCTATGGTGTGGCAGCAAACAGGTAAAATGTGGGCCTCATAGATAAATAAGAAATAACCAAAGCCCAAATAAACAGCTAAAACAGAGGTAGGGAGACCAGGGAGACAAGTGCCACAAAAGAAGTCGACCAATATTTTTTGGCATCTGCCACTGGGCTCCATTTCTAGAAGTGGTAACGTGGAGGGGAGGAGAGAAGCAAGGAGCAAAACCTAGAGGTGCAGAGGTACCAGAGGGGTGGGCTTTTGGATGCATCGCCCAAGCAGGGGCCTCAGGATGGGGAAGCAGCAGTCATCAGAACAGGGATCTCATGCACATGTGGAATGAGGTTCAGGAAGTGGGCACAAGAGTAAACTGAAACACACAAGTCAGCCTTACTCTTTGACGAGTCAATCACAGAGGACTTGGCTGGGCTGGACATGGCTGTTTTAACCTCTGAGCCTATTTTTGAGTGCTGTATGCTACAAGCCTGGTGAAAAAAGGGCCCAGGAGTCTGGCAACAGTGAGTAATAGGAAAGTTTCCTGAACTCCCCAGAAACATCTTTCAGAACTCTAGTAGTCTTTATCCTGTATATAAGCAGAAGTTCATAAAAGCTTAATTTTATATTGAAATAATTTGACTGTTATCTTTGGATTTGGGGCCCCTCAAGAAATTCAGAAAAGTTTTTTAAGATGTGTCCGTGTGACTGTGTTTTGTTAAGGAATGTACAGTAAAACCTGCAAAAACCAGAACCTATGTAAGGCAGAAACCTGTCAGAGAAGGAAAACCCAAATATTTTCCACTAAAATGAGCGATAGAAAAGTGGTAAGACTGCACACTATCAAAAGCAGACGACTTGCAAGACCCAGAAAAACAAGGCAGTCCTGTTGAGTTCCGGCTCTCACAGGTTTCACTGTATTTATAAATCTGGCTTCCATTTCCTTGATCTGTACTCTTATTGCTAATTAACATTCCAAAGTCACTACTTTAGTCACTACTTTACATGAGTTGCTTGCTCCACCAAGCACGGGTTTATTAGATGTAGTAATGCCTGCTTTGCTTAAACATAAGAAAGGTAATTAAAAATTAAACATAGTAAGATTTCTTAGAATTTGAGTAAGCTTCAGTTCTAGAAGACAAGTGTTGGTAATGTATTTAATTTTTTATATCTTAGTTTATTTGTGCATCTTTAAAATTTTGTGGCAATTTTCTTTTCATGCTACAAATGACAAGGGTTTTACAAGGTGGTGTTGAAAGAGATGACTTTAGAGGACAGGAATATAATGAGGACTTTTAAGCTGTGGTGTGTGTATGTAACTACCATCTAAGTCACTCCTCCACAGTCTCTAGAAGAGTCTCCATTGCTTTTATTGTTTGTGTGTCTATGGGTTCTTTTTATGGGAACTTGAAGAAGCATTCGGAGTTTGGGTTGGTGCAGAATGCAGTTGCTGCATACTCTAATGTACAAGTGGGCTCAACAGTTGACATCTGACTTCAAGTTATCTGGAATAAGACACCATAATTTCCTTGTTTACCTGTTCATAGAAGTCAAATTCAATTCATTTTAATTAAATTTAATTCAGCCGACTCATAGAGCATTAACTGAACTCCTATTGCATGTCAGCTATCAGTTCATAATATAGCAAAACCAAAAGCTGTTGTTGTTGAGTTGATTCCGACTCGTTGTGACCCTATAGGACAGAGTAGAACTGCCCCATAGGGTCTTCAAGGCTGTAATTTTTACAAAAGCAGACTGCCACATCTTTCTCCAGTGGAGCGGCTGGTGGGTTTGAACTGCTGACCTTTCGGTTAGCAGCCCAGTGCTTGACCACTGCACCACCAGGGCTCCCTTCATAATATAACAGAGGAGACAAATGGTTAAAGAGCTAATGAGAATATGATGTGATAGATGCTGATCTTGGAGGACCAATTAATTACACAGAAGAAACTTTTTAGAGAAGATGACATTAGGGTTAAGTTAATGATAAATGAAAATCAGTAAGATGGAAAGTGAGAAAGGGAATTGTAAGAAGGACCAGCATGTGCAAAAGTGCAGAGTGCACGGGAGGTTCTCAGAATGGTGATCAGTCTGGGACAACGTGTGGAATGGAGAGAGAGGTCATTGTGTTGGATAATCTTGGTCCCTGAGTCTCTAATGACTTTATGAGACCAGAACACAGCTCAAAAGGGTTTGACGCTATTTTCTTTCTCTTCTTCTTTGCAGAGAGCATAAAATTAGATTTCACATGTTTTATGCATGTGTAATGTGACTCCACTAGAATGCAAAGGAAATGTTGCTTAATTTCAATTCAATTTTTTAAAATTGAATTTTTAAAAATTTTTTAAAACTAAAATTACATTTGTATAATATTAGTTCTATGCAAGATGTTGTACCAAGTATGGAAAATTCCCCCTAGAGTAGCAACTCGAAGAGGGCACAGGCCAAATCTACTCTGTTAACTATTCTCCCAAACCTAACACAAACACTGACCCAAAGTAGGCATTAATATGTATTTGTTGATAGAATGGATGCACAAATGTATTACAAAATTATCAACACATACTCTGTACTCTCTAATAGTGGGATAGGTGTCAGGGCCTAGACCTGAGATCAAACCTTAGGAAAAGAAAAACATGAGAGACGTCAACAAATACATGAGAACTTGCACAACTTTACTGGCCATGTTTTACAAACCGGTCCTCTGATAAGGAAAGGGTTGGAGATCGGGCCCAATCCAGGGCCAGCTTTCAATGTCTTAAACACAAGAGACATCTAGAGAAATTGTATTTCCTCAGTCTTGTGCCTGAGGTCTCCCTCTTTATCTTTTCATGTTTCAGGAATACACAGGAATTAAGGAACACAAAGAGGATATTTTCCTAGCCTGGTTAAGAAGAGGCATAAGTTTTATGGCATTTGATTGTCTGGTTTCCACTATTGGTCTTAATTGACAATTTCTTCTCCCAAGATGTGGCCGCATAGTGGCCCATTAGCCACCACTGAAAAGTGAAGCAAATCTAAAAGATTCAACTCCTAAACAAAATGATTCAGACATATATTTCAGTTAGGTCTACTTTATTTGAGAAACAAATCAAGACATGATGGGACAAGATTAGTCAATGTGGCATAGATTATATGGGAAGAGAAATTTGTCATGTGTCTCTTGTGAATGGATACCTTAAAAGATATTTCAGAATCTCAAGATAGGTGCAACATGCTCCAAAATGAGCAAATTTAAGTTTGTAGTTACTTTTCATGTGGAGAGAAAAGAGCAACAAATGAGAAACTCTGAAGCCATATGCATTTCATTCAAACTTCACCAATGAACCCAGAAAATGTATCTGAGTCTCTGCAATAATCGACATTTTTAAAAGGAGTGATGGCAATTTAAGAATGTTTTAACAACTGATGTTGATTAGATAAAGATGATGTTCAAAATACACCTCAATTTACGTCCTTGAAAATATGTTTATTATTTTTTTGTTTTATTATTTTTAATAAATTTTTTTTATTTAAAGGAGACACACATTTAGAAACCCCTTTTCATAATAGACTATTTTTTTTTATTTAGAAAGAACTAGAACAATTTGCCATATAGACTAGATGTTTGTTTTTATTTACGTATATTTTGAAAATAATTAAAGGGCACTACATGCTTCTTTACATTCTAGTATATCATTCATTATTTTATGTTTTTTGACCAGATACTAATTATCTTTTAGATTACTACTTTGTAAACTTTAAACTACTTTTGGCTATTACATTTTTAAAATTTAAATTTTACTATGGCTTAAATATATATTTTGTTGATAAATCGTACTCTAAAACAGAACAAGATCTTGAGGTTTTTCAGATATTTTTCTCTTTGGTACCAATCATTAGGGATGCCAACATATCAAGACAGATGAGAACTGTCACGTCTAGGAGAGGGGTGTTCCTTGTCCCTGGAAATAATCAAACATGGATTTTGAGACTACCTGGTGATTTTTTGTGTAGAGGGAATTTAAACACTGGATTAGCAAGAGAAAGTTGAACTCCATGATCCTTAATTTTCCTTTCAACTTGGAGATTCTAGGATTCTCTGATTTACTCTTGAAGCCAGAATATGTTGGAATAAAATGACAGTAGAGACTCCCAAATCCTATAAATTGGGAGAATTCTATTTCATAGAATCAGTGTGTAATGATTCAGGTATTTATTATGCCCAAATCACTTCTTCTAATTGAGGTACATTTGTCTTAACACATAATTACACCTTAAGTACAGAAAAGGAAATATGTCAATACTTACACAACTTCATAACAAAACCTGCAGTCGTTGCTGTAAGTTCGGCCATCAGAGCCACAAATTGGGTCATATAATGCATAACAAATGCTCTCTTTTCCTGCTGGTAAATTTTTAAAAGAGCTGCAATCAACCTGAAAAAACAATTAAAAACCTTCAATTTTCTCAACCAAATCTTTATTTCAGGGATTTAGGATTTTCCATTCAAGCTTGGAGGGCTCTCATTATATGTTTTTGTGTTCTGATCATCTGTCCTCATCTAACCCCTATAAGACATATCAAGTATAAAGGGTTTTTATGTCAGGTATAAAATCATGAGTAATAGACTTCTTTATGGTAGCTGGTTACAAAATCAGAATTTATTCTGAAATAGGATTCTTTCTACTGTACTTGTTGATACATCAGTTTTCAATATACACAATGTGTTCACAAGTGCAACCACTTTCATAGGATGTGTGATCAATTTTCTGTATGAATTATCCCTCTATTTATCTCTGTAACTCAAAATGTTCTATCTGAATGCAAGTGTGAAATATGTTATAGGGATAGCTACTATAATTATGGAGCCCCGGTGGCACAGTGGTTAAGTGCTCAGCTGCTAACTGAAAAGTTGGTGTTTGAACCACCAGCCACTCCACAGGAGAAAGATGTGGTAGTCTTCCATAAAGATTACAACATTGGAAACCCTATGGGGCAGTTGTAGTCTGTTCCCATAGGGTTGCTATGAGTCAGAATTGACTTGATGGCAATGGGTTCTATAAGAACTAGTAAATCACTGGCAACATTTACCAATAATTATTGGTAACAAATTACTTGTTATACACTACACAACTCATATAGACAGATCAATGTATCTTAATGTTGTAGCTAAGAACCACTGTTCTGAATGAAGAACACCAAAGACATAAGGAAAGTATTAGCTCAAGAGGCAGAAAGGGCCACATAAACCGGAGACTTCATCACCCTGAGACCAGAAGAACTAGATGGTGCCCGGCTACCACCAATGACAGCCCTGATAGGGAAACAACAGAGAGTCCCTGATGGAGCAGGAGAAAGGTGGAGTACAGAACTCAAATTCTAGCAAGAAGACCAGACTTAATGGTCTGACTGAGACTGGAGGAACCTTGGAAAGTATGGCTCCCGGATTCTCTATCAGCCCAGAACTAAAACAATTTCCAAGGCCAACTCTTCAGACAGGGATTGGACTGGACTGTGGGACATAAAGTGATACTTGTGAGGAGTGTGCCTCTTAGCTCAAGCAGATTCAAGAGACTAAATGGGCAGCTTTTGTCCAGAGGTGAGATGGGAAGGCAGAGAGGGTTAGGAGCTAGTTGAATGGACATGGGAAATCGGGTGGAAAGGAGGAGTGTGCTGTCACAGTATGAAGAGAGCAATTAGGGTCACATAACAAAGTATGTATAAATTTTTGTATGTGAAACTAACTTGAAATGTAAACTTCATTTAAACTACAACAATAAAAAAAAAGAACCACTGTCCTAAACTCCTGGAGAAAAACCAAGGTGGTGAGCTGCCTGTGGGAGCAGGTAAGCTATTATACCGAGAAAGATTTTTCTGGGGTTTTCATCCATGAGCATAACGAAGAGCGTGGACAGTAAAGTCAAACACATCTGAATTCAAATCCTGACTGTATGACCTTGGGACAATTATTTTACCTTTCTAAGCCTTTGTGTCTTTTACATGCAAAATAAAGGTACTAACAATTAGATCATAAGTTTGAAGTGAAAAATACAGGAGAATACGTGTAGAAGATGTGTGTAAAATCCATAGTACAGTATGTGGTATGGAAAATACTGAATAAATGACCTGTTGCCTTTGAGTCGATTCTGACTCATAGCGACCCTATAAGACAGAGTAGAACTACCCCATAGGGTTTCCAAGGAGCAGCTGGTGGATTCCAACTGCAGACCTTTTGGTTAGCAGCTGAGCTCTTAACCACCACACTACCAGGGCTCTGAATAAATATCAGCTATTATTTTTTTCCCTTGGCTTTACTTCCAGGTCTACACAAACTCCAGTTCTACACAAAAGACTGAGTCTCCAGCTCTTTCCATTCCAGAGTTCTAGGCATAATTTTTTTCTAATTGTTGAATACTCCGCTCAGACAGCCTGAAATATGCTCAAATTTAAAGTTGAATACATCATCTCCTGTAGATATGTTCCATTAAATAATTCATTCTTTCAGCTGTTGTATTCCACATATCATCTACGTTTGGGGACTGAGCTGAGTGCTGGCAACGCAAAAATTAGTATGATACCTTTGTAGGAGGACCTTAGAGACTAGCGGAGCAGAATGGCTTACGGTGCCCATTGATAGTTATATGCCGTCATGATTTCACTACCCCTCCTTGCCTGCTCAAACCCGAGTGCCAGCTTTTATGTAATACTCACAATATGACCAGGAAACTACCAAGTGCTTAGCGTTCATTAACCATTTTCATTCTCACACAGATACTAAATCATGAAGAATGGCTTGAAGTTAGGTCTGTCAGGCTCCAAAGTTTATATTCTTAACCTAGTTATTTTCTTTAATAGAAAAAACAGAAGATTCAAAGAGGTGAAGGAGGTTGCCCAGACTCGAGAGTCACATAGTTAATAACCCTTTAGTTAACAAATTAAAAAAAATTTTTTTTGATGGCATAAGTTTGCAACATTAGAATGCATGCCTACTAATTGAGTGTGCTTAAATTTTTGCTTGGTAATATGGATTTTGAGAAATATGATCTGGTAAATACAAGCTACCAATGAGGTGAGTGGCACTATGACACTGCCCATCTGTGGTATGACAGTATACCAATAAGAATTAAATAGAGAATTTATTGCAGGCACCTTTCCATTAGGTTACATGGGGAATCTCTGGTTTTCCACATATGACACACAAAAACAGTGCCCCCTAACTATCACACAGGAAAGCCATAATTATGCTTGTAAGCCTTTTCTCATAGAAATAAAGGGGGGGGGGAAGGCAAAAGTTTATAAAACTAACACATCCAGGAAGTATCACCCAATAGAATGCTCAACCTACATAACGTGAGGCTCCAACTTTGGTCTGCTGAGCTTCACTCATTTCAAAAGGGACCCACCTTGATGTTAAACACATTAGAACCTGAATAACATAATACCTAGGAGGTTCAGAGGCATAAAAAGTGGTTAGTATACCATTAAACCAATAGTAACTAAAGGGATTAGCATCAGAGCTTGAACTAGAACCCAACTGCTTGACTGCTAGTTTAAAATGTTTACTATCATACCTAGATTTTCTCAAAAATAGTCATTAATTTAACTCTTTTGAGTCATGAAAAAAAAGTAAATTAAGATCTTCATTCTCTAAGATAGAGAATAACGATGTGTGGAACCCATTTAAAAATTATAAGAATCATAACTTGTCCTTTTTGAGCTTTACCATACCATGTGCTAGGTACTGTGCTAAGCACTCTTCAAACATTATAACATTAAGCCTCATATTAAGTAGGTTCTGTTACCCAGGACCACACGATCACAGAGCTAGAATTCAAACTCAGGACTTCATAACTTCAATGCAAGGCGTCTAACCACTTTGTTCTACCACCTCTATGTTAGAAAGATCTGTCTCTATTTTGAAATAAAGCCAATTTCGCTACTTCAAAAATAAATCTTCAAATATGTAAAAATTGATTTAATGTATAGTATCAAATATTTCCCTTTCTGATACTTATTTTTAAATTACATAAAAGTAGGGCTTTTATACCAAGATGGATGTACTGACCTCCTTCCTCTGCGGGATACATTTTACATCTGGAAAAAAAAAAGAGAGAGAGAGAGGAAGAAAATTAGACTCTGGAAAAGCCTAATCTTGTTTGAAAAAAAAAATTTCATTTATGTTTTAGTTCTCAACTTGCACTAAAAATATAGGACTCTCTCCAGAGCTGTGTATCAAAGTAATATCAAACAAAGAATCTTTTAACACAGACCTTTTGGTTTTCTTTGGAGTGGGATTTAAATGTAGACAAAAGAATGAAAAAGCTATCATGATTAATGAGGGGATTGTCTTATTTTTTCCTACCTCATAATCAGGGCTCAGAAAATACTGTAAAAGCAAGTGAATCATATTTATGAAGTGTTTGCTATAATATAGCAGACATAGGTGGTAGACATTGGACCAGTGGTGGAAAATTCTAAGGAGGAAGATTTCAGTTTAATAATGGAAGAAGAATAATGTAATAATTCATGCCACACAATGGGTTAGATTGTTTTACAAAGAAGTGAGGTCCGCATAAATAGTGCTATCAAGTCAAGGCAGTGGCTAGATGATCACTTCTCAAGGATCTTACAGAATGTGTTCCCATGGATAAGATCTGGCCTTGGATGACCATTGAGAAGTCCACTCTTATATGAGACTGTGATTTATTGATGGAGACCAAAAGTGCATTTCAAAGCACTTCTCTTATTATCTATGTGATAAGAGTATCCCAAAATTATGTGAACAGAAAGTGACATAGAGCTGTTGGTATCAGGGCAGGAGCAGTGTTAGGAGGGAGATACTCACTGAAGATGGTTGTTAGTGCCAGGGCCAAGAGCAGGACAAAGGCTTTTGATCTCATGGTGCTGAAGTGATCTAGGACAGTCAGGTGGAGGCAGAACTGACCTTCTGATGTCTGTCCAACCCACTTGAGTCCTGCCTTATATCTGTCAAGAGTTTCAGTCTCAATTATGAAACAGGTTTTACAGAATCCTGGAAAGAGATCAGAAACTCTTGCTCAGCCATGGGAATTCTTTTCTTGTGAAAGACAGTTGATTACTTGTGTTATTTCAATGGCTACTAAGACTCAATAAAGCCAGCATTATTTTCATATACTACTGTCTTACCTAAGTGCTTAAATGGGTATAGGTAATTTCATATCTCTTACAAAATCTGACCTTCACAACAAATTTGTCAGAGAAATATTATTTTCTTTGTTTTACAGGTGAGGAATTTGAATCTTGAGGAATTTAAGTAATTGCCCTGGGTTTATTGCATATTCTTTATTGAACTACTTTTTTCAGGAACAGTGGTCAGTATGGCAGCTTTCCTGGTTTTCCCATTTTCCCAGGCTTCCTGCCTTTGGACTAAGCCCTTTTCTTCCCTAGACTTAGGAGTACAGTGCAATGAGATGGAGAAAATGACATTCACTGGAACTTAAGGTGGGGACCTGCATCAGGGCATGTATGGAATGATACAGAATTATTATTATTTTTTGAATCACTTGAGCTGAGGATAAAAATCCAAAGATAAGGTTCTATTAGGAGGTGGGCTATGTGTTTTGGTGAGCAAGAATAATGGATTGGATATGCAAGTTTTGGGTTAGAGTTGGCGAAGAGCTACATTTTTCTATATAGTAGAGGGGAGAATGGTTTAAAGTTATAGAAAAGCGGAGTTAACAAGAGAAGGGAGCAGCTAGAGAGGCTAGATTTGAATGCGCCAAAGACAAACTTAAAAATCCTGGTAGTGGAGTCCAGGATGAGAAGTGTGAGGAAGATTTTTTGTAGTTCATTTTGAGATAAGTAAGATAACCTCTTGTCTTTATCTTCCTCCCTACAGTTTACCAATTAAAGAGCATCTATTGAGCAAATAACAAAAATAGAAACCCTGGTGGCATAGTGGATAAGAGTTTGGCTGCTAACCAAAAGGTTGGCGGTTAAAATCCACCAGGCGCTCCTTGGAAACCCTATGAGGCAGTTCTACTCTGTCCTATAGGGTCGCTAAGAGTCGGAATCCACTCAATGGCAGTAAGTTATTGAATAAATACCTGTTACATTCTAGATGCTCTGCTAGTACTGAAGGAGTGCCTGCCCTGAGAGTGCTCACACTATAAAACTGGAGACTGACAAGTAGAAATATTAACTCCATAATTTGATAATAATGCTAGAGAAACACAGAGCAGGAGAGGTTAGTTACAACTTGGAGCATTGGAAGGCTTTTTTGAGAAGTTTACCTTAGATTTGTAACTTTTTTTTTTTTTAAATATTTTATTGTACTTCAGGTGAAGGCTAAGAGAACAAATAGTTTCTCATGAAACAGTAGTACACATGTGGTTTTATGACATTGGTTAACAACCCCACAACATATCAACCTTCTAACTTCTCAAACTTTTTTTTTTTTTGGTGAAAATACACACATAGCCAAAGATACACCGTTTCAAAAATTTCTACACACACAGTTCAGTGACATTGATTACACTCTTCCAATTGTGCTGTTATTCTCACTTAAGACGAAGGCTTACAGAACAAAATAGTTTCTCATTTAACAGTTACTACAAATGTTGCCCTATGACAATGGTTAACAATCTCACAACACATCAACAATATCCTT